TGTCACTTGGCGATCGCATGGTGTTTCTACTCTGGGTTTCAAGCACGCACACTAAATGTGGTGTTGCCTCAAGAACAAGTCTCCCTTTCTCTCTAAACTAGCAAACAACTCGTTAAGGTGCGGATTCAACTATCGTTTAGGCAGGGCCAGAAACAAAGCATGAGAAACAAACAATATACCCACACAAGAAGCAAACCCAAGCTAATCGACTTGAAGCAATAACGAAACTCAACAAACACACAAGGCATCACACGACCCTCAGCACACATCAATGAGTTGTGGACAGTGAGACTAGCACAGAGACGAAAAGCCCGTCATGCTGTGTCGTAAGCCGCTTCGACTTCAGCGCCATCGCGTGTGAATGCGCGCATCATGCGATGTGCGAGCTGCCAAACGTCATCCACTCCCCGGAATCGGAAAATCCGGTCATGGCGGCCATGGCTTGAAGGACGTGCTCGCAGTACCTCTGGTCCACGAGAGCACGAGTGGTGGCTGTGTCAAGAGGAGGTGACGCGTGCTCCAAGCGCTCACATACCAGTGGGTCTTGAATGTCGAATAGAACACGGAGACCATGCAGGGCCAGTGAGAGGCTGCGTGCGTAGCTGATTAGCATTTCAGTGGCCATGCGAGCCATCCCGCGACGATCATGCACGGAGTCGCCCGAGGGGGGGGGGGGGGGGGGGGGGGGGGGGGGGGGCTGGTCCACATCGCGTCATGCACAAGCGGTTCCTCGGGCTCTTGTGCCAGCGGATCGTCGTCGCATGGCTCGCCTGTTTCCTCGCCGTGGTCAGACGTACCCGACCGCGTTGGGAATGTCGCCGGGGGGGGCAAAGGGCAAGGCGTCCATGGCCGCCTGGAAGTCCTGGAACTCCTCGTCCAGTAGGTGGACGGTCTCAGAGAAAGGGTCGCCACGCTGGTCTAGCAGCGGCTTCCAGCTGGGCATAAGTATTCCCGTGCACCAGAAGCACCTTTTAATGGTGCTGGTGTTGATTTCGATCGTCGAGTCCGAGATATACTTGACGACGCGAGTCATGTCAGGCCGGAGCTTCAAAAGCTCGTCGACGGTCATGCCCGACATGGACCACTCGAGCAGAACGCGGCGCAGCAGGGAGGTCTTGTACTTGGCCTTTAGGGCCGCCATATTGCCATGGTCGAGTGGCTGGGTGAAGGGGGTGGTGTTCGGCGGTAGATAGACCAGCCGCACGTTCGAGAGCGCGCGGGTCTAGAAGCCGCATATATCGGCGATCGTAGCATGGGATGATTTGAGCATGTGGCTGGAGGCATTTCTGATCAACACTACGATGTGCCGCTCCTCCGCCGGGCTAGGTCAATTGCGTAAATCGGTACCAGAACTCGATGATGGTCATCGGTTACGGACGAGCTGGTTCCATCAGTAGTCAACCCGTTAAATACTGGTACTAAGCATTTCCGTGATGGCTAGAACTCCCCTGCCCCTGCCGACACGCAAAATGACGCGCAGGCCAATACGCAAGACGACACGCAAGACGACACGCAAGGCCAGGAAGAGAACGCGGATGCGGTGGACGCGCTACCGCCCGCTCTCTGGCACCACATCTTCCACCATCTGCTGCAGCCGCCCTGCAGCGCCGCCACTCCGCACCCCGCCGACAGCCTTAGGCACTGCCGCGCTGGCACGACCAGTGGCGGCACCAGTGCCACTCAGGCGCAACGGACGCCTCCAGTGGAAGGAAACGTGGGCAGCAGCAGCATTGCGCACGGTGGCAGCTACTACGCGCTGGCGAGCGAGCGACGCAGGGCGCAGGAGCGCGAGACGAAGCGGTTGACGCAGGCGGAGGACGAGGGAATGATGAGGGAAATGAGCGGAGCGGGAGGACTCGCAGGTGTTGCTGCGAAAGGAGGGTGCGTCCGCGTGCTAGGTGCACGCGCGGAACGCCGCGTGGTACGGTCCATCGTGGCCGCTGCTGTGCTGCGCGCTCGCCAGCAAGAGGCTGCTGCACCACGTCGCGACCTTTGCGGTAAGCCTGTTGGTACTCTGGAAGCTTTGACAATGAATTGACTTCGTTGCTCTGTATCATGTCGCTGGCTTCTTCCTGCGTCTGTCGCTGCTGGGGCCATACACTTCTAGTCGACGTGCCACGTCAGTGATGTTTCCTGCTGTCGACGCTCCCTCGATTCTCAATCATTCGCCCATTCACAACTGAATTGAATCGAGTCGCCCGCCCACCGCTCCTCTCTCATTTCTCACACCCGTCCCCCTCCCCCTCTTCCCTTCCCCCCATCAGGCCGACAGCAGCACCCCCATCGCCCTACAGCTCATCCACATCAAGCCCGCGTGGACCTCCAGCGTCCTCTGGTTCATCTCCCATGCCCCCGCCCTCCCCGCCCTCCGCCTCTCCTTCACCCACCCCTCCCTCATTCCCCTCATTCGCGCGCCCTTCTCCCACTCCTCCGCCTCCTCCCCCTTACCCTCCTCCCTCACCTCTCTCGAAGTCTCCTTCCGGAGCAGAACCACGGAGGAGTATGAAGTCAACCAATGGCGACTCGTCGGCTTCCTCAATGGCTGCACGAGCCTGCACTCCCTCACTCTAGGACGCGGCGCGTGGCGACTCGACAAGTCCTGCGTCACCGCTCCCTGGGCACCCTCTCTTAGGAGCCTCACACTCCAAGCTGTGGACTCCAGAAGCGTGAAACTTAATGCCTTGGCGGAGATTACCCCCTAGCTGACGAGTTTACCTTCTACGAGCCGGAGCATCTAGACTACGGGGTAGTGTCCGGGCCCGTGTTTCTCAACTTGGACTTCCCCCGCATTCGCCGCCTCTCCTTCCGCTTCGTGCATGACGAGTTAAAGCTCAAGCTCGCGCTGTCGCCCGCTTTCACCTCTTTCCACGCCTTGGCGAAAACCCGTATTCTGAATTGCAGTTCTCCCAACCTGTTGACTCTGGATGAGCTGTTTCTGTTCGGGAAGGTGAGGCTCCACATCTCGTCCTTCGCCGTTGGATCTGTCCGCGCGCTCTATTTGAACGGTCCGATCAAGTTCCTGACGTGGTCTACGGAGTATAGTCTTCGGAAGGGGCAGCAGTACGGGCTATTCTACGAGATGCCACCGCCGCCCTTCCCCTGGGCCGACTGGCTTCGCGCGTTTGCGCCAACAACGGAGCTGCTTAGACTGAGGCACGACATTCGGCTCGAATCCTGTGGGGTGGCCCGGCCGCTGCTGCGGAGCCTCAGTCGTGGAGTGCGATTTCGCGCGGGCGAAATCGGTGCCTGGCGAAGTAACCCTAGAAGACGCGGTCAGAACAGGCGTGAGCTCTTCCGTTACGTCGAGACGGCAGGAGGAGAAGTGGGGGAGGATGCAAGAGAGACGCTTGGAGGACGAGAGGCAATATTTGGAGGGCGGTACTGGCAAGTATACGATGCGCTTCCATAATGGTCCATTCGGTAGCCAGGTGGCTAAGGGGTCCAAGGCTGACGACGACGCTGAGTACGACTACGAGTCGGATGAGGAGGAGAGCTCGAGGACAAGGGAAGAGGGTGGAATGAAATACTCCCTAGAACCTCCCTTTATCGACGCTCCAAACCTTAAATTCGTTTTCTTTCCGAGCAACAGTAGCAGCAGCAGCAGTGCGGCTCCAAATCTGTTGGGTAGGCTGCAGGCTGCATACCCTTCCCTGGGGATGTACTGTGTTGAGAGAAGCACGTGTTATTGGGAGAGGAAGACGAGGAGGGTGGAAGGGGGAGGGCCAGTAGAGCATGTGAGGAAAGCACGGGGTGGGAAGAAAGGACGGGCCTAAGACCGTGAGGGATAAGACGCACAGTGTGAACCGGGGGTTGGTGGGAGGGGGGTACACTCTTGAGGAAGAGGAGGCATATGTGATTACGAATAAGGACCGGTTTATGCATTTGTACAACTCCGATGATGATGAAAGCGAGGGGGGGGAGGAGGGCTGTGACAGGGATGAGTGGTGATAGTGGGGGACGGAGCAGGAGGAGGTGGAGGGGGGGAACGGAGGAAACGGAAGGATGAGGAGGGGAAATGGGTGGGGGGGGGGGCAGGTAGGGAGGAGGAGGAGGAGGAGGAGGAGGAGGAGGAGGAGGAGGAGGAGGAGGAGGAGGAGGAGGAGGATGAGGAGGAGGAGGAAGAGGAGGGAGGAGGGGGAGGAATGCAGGACAATGCAGGGCTTACCATCTGTTTTTTGCTCATCTTGAAATGTGCCTTGTGTTAAAATTATATAAGTTATATATAATTGATAGGCTTGGTAGTTGTTGCCGAACCTTACTGTAGAGGGTACAATCCCCTCCTTGTACCCCTCTCTCTTCCTAATCGATCCTCTTCTCTCTCGTCAATCTTCCCTAACTAATCCTCAGCCGCCATTTCATGGCGGCCTTCTCCTTTCTTGCTAGCTCAGTTCATAACACCTTGAAGGTTTGTATGGCCTGGAATAGTATGGTGCACCAATGTGATGTGGGCTCATAACATATGCCTGTTGGAAAGGTACATACGGATAGCATATTGGATGGTAATAGCAAAATGCTAGTAGACAGTCGACATTAGGTGCCTGTAGTTGTGTTAGTCTCTTTGCATAACAAAAGAAATTGTCTAACTCATGATTTGAGAAGATAACTTCTCGAAGAAATTAATGCTGATGGAAGTAGGATCTTGGTGTTTCCCTACGAAGGAGCTACAATGGAGTAATACCCGCACACGCACGACGAGTCCAGAGCCACATGCGCGACGCCATTTGACACATGTCAGTCAGAACAGCATGTCAGGCCGTCGTGACGCGTCACCAGATAGGGCAGGTCAGGCGTGGGTGGTCCCACTGATGACCAAAACGACATTCTCCTGTCAGAAGCACGTCCCCGAACCTTCTTTCCTGGCTCGGTTCCTCACCATTACTCTGCTCGCCAAGTAGTTGCCTAGCCAAGACCTGCTGCTCGAGCCGCATCCCCCCACAAATTCGATGCCTTGAATTGAACGAACCCAATTTATAACGCACTTGCCCTATCAAGCACCTCTGACATAACCCATACGGTACTAGCTTAGAACGTCAGTTTCAAGCAACAGTCAGACGTGCACCGTCGTCCCTCGGCTCTCTTCACTGTTGAACGGAAGTAGAATTTGGTTGCCATTGTAGCGCAGCGGCCTCGCCAGTCTTGCTGCAGCGCCTTGCACGGTGCTATGGGCGATTGACGCACCAAGGCACGGTTGCAGCTCCCTTCTCTCCGAAGGATCCGAACAAGTCGTGCGGCCTCCCCTAGCGGCGACGTCGATCTCCGCGACCTCTCGTTCGTCGCGTCCATACGGATCAAGAAGAGAGTAACGTGAGCGCGAGGCAGTGGCGTGAGCGTGAAGGGGTGTGCTGAACCGGTTTGCGGACCTTGCCACCCTGTCAGCCTTGGGAACTTCCAAGTTCCACACAGGCTGAACCGTGCGAGCCGTGCGAGCCGTGCGAACCGTGCGAACCGTGCGAACCGTGGGAGCCGCGTGAACCGTGCGAACCGTGCGAACCGTGCGGACCGTGGGAGCCGTGCGAGCCGTGCGAGCCGTGCGAACTGTGCGAGCCGTGCGAACCGTGCGAACTGTGGGAGCCGTGGGAGCCGCTGGAGCCGTGTTCTGTAGAGCCATGACGCCGTCTGATCCATCTCACGCCATACCGGTCCTCGGCCCCGGACGCCATGACAGGCGCGATGCCTGCACAGCGGTAGTGCTAGTAGCGCAAGATTGCTCTGACGCGGTTGGAGCATCCGCGGTATCACCGGATAAACACGCCGGATGCCTGTTTCCGCCGGGATTCGCGGCGGGCAATCCGTGCGAAGCGAGTGCGCGCGCGCAAGGGGGGGCGCGTACGCAGGGGGAAGCGCGCATCGGAAGGGGGAGGGGAGCGCGCGGAGACGCGCGGCGGTGCCGGTGGGCGGTGAAGGTGGGGGAGTGGCGGCCCAGCGCGGCGGAGTTTTGGGCGGCTATGGCGCTGCTACCCGCAGAACACCACGCGCACGTTCTAAGGTAAGACTCTTATCATCTTAATCGCATCAAATCCGAGTCGGATGGGATGCGCGCAGTCTCTGTACTTCACCCCCTTCCCCCTCCTCCCCCCTCCCCCTCCCCCATCCGCCGTCAACATCTTTCCGCGCCGATGCGTTACCCACGCCCGCGCCAGGCCCCGCGGCTCCGCCTGTGAGCTCGTTAGCATACTCCTCTTCCACTCTCCCCCATTCCCCTCGGGCGTTTCCGCGCCCGTGTAATCTCCTCACCCTCCCCCCATGCCCCGCCCCGCCCGCCCTGCCTGCCCCCCGCACCACGCGCTCCCCGTAGGTTTCTCCGCCTGTCCGACCGCAAGCGCGCGCTGGTGAGTCGCCTGGCGCAGATGGCGCTGGTGGCGCGCGCGTGTGGCGTGCGCGGGGGGGAGGTGGGGCTCCTGCGGACCAGGGAGGGGAAGCCGCACTATGAGGTGCGGCGGAGAGAAGGAGAAGGACGGGGGGGAGGTGAAGGGGGGCAATGGTCACAGACCCATGATTGGACAAGCGTCAGCAATGCAAGCACAGGTGTGCGTACGCACGCAAATGCTAGTGTTGGTGCTAACGCGGTTGCTGATACTCGTATTTATACTCAGGCTTGTGCCGCTGCTGATGCCCACAGTCGCGAACTTGCGTACGGCCAAAGTGGCGGTAACCGTTACAGCGGCCACGGTGGCACTCTGCATTACAACGTGTCACACCACGGGGATTTCGTGGTGCTCGCCTCTGACCCCACGTGCATCGTTGGCGTCGACGTGGCAGCGCACGACTGGCCGGATTCTGCAGCCGCCGCTGCTGACATGGCGGCCGCTGCTGCCATGGATGCTGTTAGGGAGTGCTGCTTGCTGCGGCGCGAGCAGGGCGGCTACAGTAACAGCAGCGGTGATGGCAGCGGGACCAATAATGGTAGCAGCAGCGGTGGGCGCTCGGACGCACGAGAACCATTCACGGTTCTGGAGTCTTGTGAGGGTGAGGTAGGGGAGAGGGTGGTGATACAGGAGCAGGGGGACGAGGGGAGGGGGGAGAAAAAGGAGAAATCTCCAGAGGGTTTGGTGGGAAAGACTGCGGGGGAGAAGGAGATGAGAGGAGTGAGATTGAAGAGTGGGGAACAGATGAGAGGGCTTGTTGGGAGTGGAATTTCCAGGAGTGACATCTGTAGGAGTGAAATTTGTGGGAGGGAGAATGCGGAGGTGCTCGTGACAGGCAGTTCAGAGGTGCGTAGATTAGAGGACGAGGGAGGTGATACTTTGACAAATCGCAGCAGCACCATCGCCTCTCCACGCACCAGTAACGGCGTCAGACCCAGCCCTGCTAGCAGCAGCAGCAGCAGCAGCAGCAGCGGCAGGCGCGGTAGCAGTGGGAGGTATGGCAGCCCTCGGGTGTTCTTCAGGCCGTTTCGGTCGCTGGGACTGCTGACGCGGGGGGAATGGGCGGCCATAGAGCAACCGGGAACTAGCGCTGAGGAGCAGCACAACCAGTTCTACAGGTGTGCTGGGGGAGTCAAATGTGATGCCGATAGGCGTGGAGTTTCACTTGGTAGGCTAGGGTACGGCCTAGTCCGCCCAGTCACAAGCATCGTCCTGCTCCATCTCCCACACCCCACTCTCATGTTTCCCCTCCCACCCCTACCCTCCCCCCAGAATGTGGCCGCTCAAGGAGGCGTGTGGGAAGGCTATGGGCATGGGCCCGGGCTTTACAAGGGCTAAGGACTGCCTCTGTCCCTCTTCCATTCACCCCCTCCCAACCCCGGCCCCCCCGCCATCCTCCACCTCAGGGTGTGGGCACTTAAGGAGGCGTATGTGAAGGCCATGGGCGTGGGGCTGGGCTTCGACCTGGGCCGGGCGGAGTTCGCCTGGGAGAGGGCAGAGCCGCGCTGCTATGCTCCTGCTCAGATTCAAGCGGACCCAAGCCCTCGTGGCTGGGAAGCAGGCTCGGATGGCCATGATACATGCTGTGACGATGGCATGCGATGTGAGGAGGCGAGGGGGGCATGGGAGGCATGGGTGTGTGTGGATGGGGCATTGCAGCGGGACTGGCGGTTCTTCGTGCACAGACTGCCGCACAACCACTGGGTAGGTACCATGCCCCGTGTTAGTGTTGTTCGGCTGTCTTATCCTATGAGCCCTTGCAAACGGTGTCTAACTTGGATTGTTGCAATCGTCATTCTGACAGCTTGACACCACCATTATGCTCTTTAGTGTCTCACTTCTCTTGGGGGATGCTTTTCTCTGGCAGGTGGCGGTAGCTCGAGGCCCATTGTCGGATGCCACTCCAAGCTACCGGCAACTCATGGAGCCGTATCAGGGTGAATATGAGCCATTGCAGGCTGCACTAGAGCTGTACGAGCCTGAGTTTGAGCTGCTTAGTGTGGAGGATGTACGCTCCATGTTGAATTAGTAACAGAAACCGTGCAAGCTGTTGTATTGTCATTGGCATGTATTAGGCTTCGCTTCAAAAGTTGCACATTTTGTAAGAAATTTTGGGAGGTGGATGTCCGCGCAAGGGTGCAGGCCACACACAATGCTGGTAACGTGGTTGTAGGATAGCGACCACCTTAAAGCCGTTGACCCAAATTGCAGAAATTGTGTTTCAAGATTACCGTAAAAGCCAGGATATAAGACCTATGGGTCTTATCACATAACACCATTCAAAACTGTATTTTATTTTATAAACGGAAAAATGGGGCATTTGAATGTCTTATAAACGGAACCCTCATAAGTTCACCGAAAAACGACCCGAAAGGTGAACCAAAAATAACGAGTCATCTGATAACGAGAATTCAGCAGAATAGGGAAAAATTGCGGAAGTCAATCGTGACGGTAAAACACGTATGATGAAGATGCGAATGCCTGCAACAACACCCCGCTCGGGCATAATCCCAACCGTTCATCGTCTCGCTCAATAAAACTCGTTTGTGCGAGACCCAGTTCTTGCTTTGCGGGAATAAAAAACACTAAAGAAAGGAGGGTCTTATCTCATACCACCTCGAGGGTGTCTCATAAACAGGAATTCCGAATACAAGATAGACGCCTAATACAAGACCCTGGGTCTTCTATTACTAGGGGGTCTTCCATCCTGGCATTTACTGTCAACTTATACATATTAGCTATGTAGAAATTATAGGCTAGACTGAGGTATGCTTCTAATGAGTACAACCAACTAGTATTTGTTCTAGGTTTCCATTTCTAGTAATTCATTCAGTTCTTATTTTCACATGGTATCACGCGTAGGTTAGAATCCCCCACCTACCGCTTCCGCCCGTACCCTAGCTAGGCCCCGCCGCGCCCCCCTCCCCCTTCTGCGGCCCCGTCGCGCCTCCTAGCCCCGTCGCCCCTCCTAGCCCCGTTGCGCCCCTCCTGGGCCCCGTCGCGCCTCCTAGCCCCATTGCGCCCCTCCTGGGCCCCGTCGCGCCCCCTAGCCCCGTCGCGCCCCTCCTGGGCCCCGTCGCGCCTCCTAGCCCTGTCGCGCCCCTCCTGGGCCCCGTCGCGCCCCCTCCTGGGCCCCGTCGCGCCCCTCCTGGGCCCCGTCGCGCCTCCTAGCCTCGTCGCGCCCCTCCTGGGCCCCGTTGTGCCTCCTAGCCCCGTCGCGCCTCCTACCCCTGTCGCGCCCCTCCTGGGCCCCGTCGCGCCCTGCTTGGCCCCGTCGCGCCCACTAGGCCCCGTCGCGCCCTCCCTGGCCCCGTCGCGCCCTCCCTGGCCCCGTCGCGCCCGCCTGGCCCCGTCGCGCCCTGCCTGGCCCCGTCGCGCCCTGACTGGCCCCGTCGCGCCTGCCTGGCCCCGCCGCGCCTGCCTGGCCCCGCCGCGCCTCCCTGGCCCCGCCGCGCCTCCCTGGCCCCGCCGCGCCTGCCTGGCCCCGTCGCGCCTGCCTGGCCCCTCCGCACCTGCCTGGCCCTGCCGCGCCTGCAAGGCCCCGCCGCGCCTGCCTGGCCCCGCCGCGCCTGCCTGGCCCCGCCGCGCCTGCCTGGCCCCGCTGCGCGTGCCTGGCCCCGCTGCGCCTGCCTAGCCCCGCCGCGCCTGCCTGGCCCCACCGCGCCTGCATGGCCCCGCCGCGCCTGCTTGGCCCCGCCGCGCCTGCCTGGCCCCGCCGCACCTGCCTGTCCCCGCCGGGCCTCCCTGGCCCCGCAGCGCCTGCCTGGCCCCGCCGCGCCTGCCTGGCCCCGCCGCGCCTGCTTGGCCCCGCCGCGTTTGCCTGGCCTCTCCCACTGCCCGCCCGGCCCATCTTCGTGCCTGCTCGTCCTGCCGTGCCACCTCGGGCTCCGTCTACTCTGCTCGCCAGTGCTGGGGCGCCTCGCGGCCGCCGTGCTGGAGAGTGCTGCCGCCGTGTCTCTGCGTCGCTGTGTTCCTGTGAAGCTGCGCTGCTGACCCTGCACGATGGCTGACTTCGCGCTCCGACTGGACGCCGAGGGCCATGCGGTTGACTTCGCCGCCTGGCTCTCCGATCTCCACCGCCACCTTACAGGTCAGCGCCAGGATGGCCACTCTTTGGTTGTCCATGTCGATGGCTTGCTCCCCCGCCCCCCTGCCCCTGCTCCCCTCCCTGCTAATCCCTCCACTAATGACCGTGAGACCTTCTCTACTGCTGCGCTTGCCTGTGCAGTCTGGGACTCCCGCGATGCAGTCGCTCAGATTGCTATTAGTCACGCCCTCCCTGTGTCTGAGCGCTCGCGTCTTGCTACTGTTGAGACGGCCAAAGCTTACTTAGACGTCATTATTGTTCGCTATTCCACACCCGCGTCTGCTTCTGCTGGCGGCTTGCTCTTCTTGATGCTGTTCCCAGACCTTGCAGCCTTCCCTATCGTCGCAGACTTTGCAACTCACCTGCGTGCCCTAGAGACCCGCTATCGCACTGCCAGCACTGCTGCCCAGCTCACTGCGCTCCCCCCCCCTTTCTGCATGACGCTCTATTTTATCGCCATGCGCCTGCCAGACCGCCTCGCTAGTGCTGGCGATCACTTCCTTAGCCAGCACCCGGGTGACCTCACCCTCACTGCCTTTGTCGACACCCTCACCGAGATCAAGACTCGTCAGCGCACTATCTCTCAGTCGAGCGGTGCGCCGGCAGTCTCTATCTTTCACGGCTGTGCCCCCTCCCAGTGCACGTTCACTGACGTTTCGGCTGCGGTCACCACGGCGACCCCTCCCACCGACATGGCTGTTGCGGTCCACCCGCAGCAGCGCTCGCGCCGCGGTGGCCGTGGTCGCCAGGAAGGTAGGGGTGGTGGCGCAGGTGGTGGTGGTGGTGGTGGTGGTGGTGGTGGTGACGGTAGTCCGCCTGCGGGGGCTACCACTGCTGGGCAGGAGCAGCAACCCCCGCCGCAGCAGGAGCAGCCCCAGCCGCAGCCGCCGCCCCAGCAGCAGCCGCCGTCCCAGCAGCAGCCGCCGCAGCCGTGGGGCCGTCTCCCGCCTGGCTGGCCCTGTGAGAGTACGACCCCGTTACACCACTTGGCCTTTTCTTATTTCCTTCCCTTTTCATTTCTCTTTTTACCGCATCTCATTTGGTTTCCTATTTTCCATTTTCCATTATCCTTTGGTCTCTTCCTTTATTATAATTATATCACCGACCAGGCATGGAATGTACTAGAGACGTTATCCAGCGTAATCCTGCCGTAATCCCTTCAAGCCAATAGCCTCACGTGGCTATACGCAGGGTGATTCTATCTTCTAGAAGGGTCTATTCCCTTAGGATAAGATAAACCTGGTTACCTGATGTACTCTGGAAGTATAAAAGCGCCTTGTACCGATCGATAGTGCAACCTTTCCTCGACACATTCGATCCTGTGACACTTGGTAATCAGAGCTTTTCTCACTCGACCGCGCTCAGCTAAGCAGCAGCAGCGGGGATCCTGCCTCGAAAAACCGCCGGGGGCGACCAATTCGACGCCGATTCTGGTAAGCACCAGCTCCGCGATTTTCGAATTACCCCCTCCGTGCGTGTTTTGAACAGGATGGCAACCTTCGACAACGCCGAGGTTACCCAGCAGCTCTTCGCGCGCATCGCAGCCCTTCAGGAGGAAATGCGAGCAGATCGCGAAGCGTGGCGAAACCAGTTCGAGCGAGTAACTCGACTCGCCGGAGCGCAGCACGAGACGACAACGGCGACGACGCAGCAGTCGCAGCAGTTTCTCGAGGCTCCGAAACCGCGCCCACCTGAGCCGTTCGATCCGAGCGATCGAAACTCCGACGCCCGCAGATGGATCGCCGGGATGGAGATCTACTTCGCAGCCGTCGGATGGAGCTCGCCAGTCTGGGACGGTCAACGTGTACGACTCGCGGCGACACTGATGCGAGGGCCGGCACTCGAGTGGATTGGCGGCAACAGCACCTTCATCCACGGTGAAGCCACGTGGCAGCAGTTCCGCGCCGACCTGCTGAAACGATTCGAGCCGATAAATTCAGGTTTCCTTGCCCGCGAAAAAATTCATCGCCATCGACAGTTCGGGAGTGTAGCACAGTACACGCAGCAGATGGAAGAATTTTATAACAGAATTCCCGACCTGACCGAAGGGGAAAAAGTGCAATCGTACCTCGCAGGGCTGAAGACTGAAGTCAAACGACAGGTGGCAGCGTCAAACTACGCGAGCTACAGTGACGTCGTTTCGGCCGCGGAGCGCTTCGACATGGTCAACGCCGGAACACGACGGACGCACGTCGGCAGTACGCGACAGGGCGACCGCTCGGCTCACACCACGTTCGCCGACCCGATGGAAGTCGACAGATTCGAGGGGCGGCCACGTCCGAAAAACACCAACTACACGTGTGATTTTTGCGGGGTGCCGGGCCACCGAATCTTCGACTGCAACAAAATGAAGGCCGCACGCGCAGAGTATCGGGCACGCAACAGTGGCGGAAATCTTTCGGCCAATCAGAAGACAAAAAACGGGAGTCGCCAGTGATTGCGGATCTAGCTGGCGAAAATAAAAAGATCCGAAAGCGGCCGCGGGATTCCGGAAAAATCAACTTCGACGAAGCTGATTCGACGCGAGAAGGAGGAAATGATGGGGGAAAATCTCCACCCCACGACCAGTCTTCGCCAGGGAAAATCGCCGAGGAAAAATACGACTCCGCGAAAAAAGACTCTGCCGAGACAGGGAAACTCCTTGAAGACCCAAGAAATTATAAGAATTCATTAAAGTTATCTTATAAAGATGCTTTAATGAAAACTTATGATGTTCGAGGAGCTAGAGCCTTGGAGAAATTTCGGGAGGGACTCCAAAAGAAGCAGAAAGCTGTGGAGACCATACCGGTACCGGACAACTTGGGGACCAAATTAAGGAGTGTGGAAAGAAGCCGACCTTTCCACGGAGTCAACGTCCTCTCCCGACACCAGCCCACAACGACTACCCGCTCCCCAGGGAAGACGTCGGTGGAGCTGAAGCAGCTCAAGAGGAAGCTGGGGGTCTACACGAAGCTGCACAAACCCCGAACTCCTCCTACGGATGCATCCAGTTCTTCGGCATCAGTGA